AGATGTACTCTTGCTCTGGAGTGTGTTACTGAATATGTTAAAGCTGTAGTGAAATGCTTCTAATCATGTAGTTATTAAAAATTAAAAATAAATAGAGAAATAAAATGGCATAGTGTTTACACATAACCCAGTTGTACAGTTTACATCTAGATTCCTTCTAATGCCTAATACAATATAAATGCTATTATAAAAAGCTGCTATACTGTTTAGGAAATCACAGCAAATAAAAATAAAAATAAAAAACAACCAAGCCTGTACAGGTTCAGTACAGACACAAAATTTTCCTTCAAATACTTACAAATCATGGTTGACTACATACAGATGCAGAACCCATGGGTGAACAGGACCAACTGTAGGGTTTTTTATATTTACATAAGTATTTATATATTTATATAAGAACTAAATATCAGGAAAAAAACATATAAAATGTTAGAGGATGACAGTACCATGGGGGAATTGATGGAGTAGGAAGTGGAAGGGTGAGCTATTTATATTTTATTTAGTTCTCTTTACTGAGAACTTAAAGGATGCAGGAGTTGAGCAGAGCAGATGTCTGGGAGACCTACTCAGCTGGAAACGTGTTTTTAGTAAGCAGGCAAATTAGAATAGTGGAGTGTGAGACTGAAAAGCATGCCAGTATTCCCATTGCAGGGCTTTTACACATGCAGTTCCCACACCCGGAACCCCCTCCCTGCCTCTAGATACATAGTGAGCTCCTGCTCACCTGTATGTCCCCTGGAGGTCTTTCCCAGCCACCCACTTTTCTATCTCCCTCAACACCAAACCCTTCAATCGATTTCTTAGGACACTGGCCACAATTTTTAATGATAGATTTATTTGTTTGCAAAACAAGTTGTTGGTTTGTGTCCTGTCTCAGTCCTGGTCTCTGGGCTCTTCGGGATCAAAGGGCGTGTATGTTTGACTGTTCTGTGCATAGCTTCCCAAGTTTTAGCAAATAAACACAATGTGCAGACAATCCTTAGTACTCACAGATACTTACATATTCAAACTTTCCTACTTACTAAGATTTATTATAACCTCCAAACCAATACTCATGGTGCATTCACCATCATATATGGACATATGAATGCTCACAGCAATGAAAAAAAATGACTTGCCCAGTTGAAGTTGAATAAGAAAATACTAGTATCAACTGTGGGGGAGGGGGGTGCGCACACAAGCATTCACACATGCACTCACATTAAACTGAATCCAATTCCAGGCACACACTAAAAAAGCCTTCTCCCAGTGAGCTACACCCCTAGGCCATCTTTTCCTTTTTCATTAGTGATTTCTGTCTAAAAATGGACTCAAGCATACTGCTGAAGGTCTGCCCGGTGTCACGAGCTTCTAAGTTCACAAGGCTGGGATGTGCCTTAGGAAGAAAACACCTGTTAGATAAGCCTGTTAGATAATACAGGCACGTACTAAAATGCTGCTGGCTGGGGCTAGAGAGATGGCTCAGCAGTTAAGAACACTGACTGTTCTTACAGAAGACCCAGGTTCGAATCCCAGCACCCACATGGCAGCTAACAACTGTCTGTAACTCCAGTTCCAGGGTATCCAACAGCCTCTTCTGTCCTCTGTGGGCATTGCACAACATGGGTACACTTACCTACATGCAGGCATAACACTCATACACATAAAATAAAAATAATTTTTAAAAATGCTTTTGGCTATGAGTTCAATGTTAATGAATAGATAATTACATAGTAAATAAAAACACACAAAACACAATGGCATTGACAATTTGAAGAAAATGGTACCAGAGGCTCACGATAACTTAGTCTTGTATTTCCCTTCAAACAATGGCTCAGTATTCACTACAGTCACACTTTCAAATAATAAAAATGACTGGTATATGCACTGGGCGATTAAAGAAGAAAATGGATGTCCCCAGCTCGTTTTAACTGGAGCAATCAGTGACCCTCCCTTAAATGGTCACTACAGGAGTGAGCAAGAAAGAGGTGTCTAATTATTCGGCAGCCTCAGTGATGACCTGACAGCCCAACCCATCTGTGCTGAACCCTGAAGGTCTATAAATCCTGCTACTAGATGCAAAATGTGAGACTGGGTTACAAAAGTCAATAGACACCTGTAGGAGGAAGTGCGGCCTGAACGACCTGCACATGCACGCTGCAAAAGCGCCAAAAACATCCGGCTGAGTCAAACCTGTGTCTGCCAAAAGACATAGAGACAGCTGACGCAAAAATGGCCTGATACAGAGAGCCAATGAGGAAAAGACGCGACCTATCAATGGACCGATGGGACACCAGGAGGGGGGATATAAGGGAGCCCCATATCCGCAATAAACGAGTCTGCAGCTGCTCGCACTGCCTGCTTCTCGCCTGACTCCCGGAGTCTGCGTCGTGACTCTGGGCCGACTCTACCCCGACCCAGAGGACCCCAGGACACCTGCAACAGACACCGAGCTAGGAAGTCTGGGATACAAAGCTGGGTGTTTATACAACATCTTCATAACTGTTTCACAGTGCTCAGAAACTACCCCACAGTGGGGAGCAGATTTAATTCTAGCCAGAACTGAAGGTCTGCTGCAGATCATGGCAAATGGCCTCCTCAGAGTAGGAGCCAGGGTAGAGTGCCAGAGCTGAGAATTCACATCAGCACCAGCAGCCCTCAGCAAGGAATATTGCCCAGTTGAAGGCTTGTCAAAGATGGTGGGTCTCAAGCAGGTGGCTGAAAATGCACTGAAATGAAGCACTCCTATGGAGTGGGACTCAAATCCAATCATGAGTAATTGGTTATCCCCCATTACAGCCATGCCACTATTGCACTAATGGCACAGCTTGCCTGGCAGTTGGTAGTGTAGCATACAGGGGCCACAACTGGGTAAAACCATTGATGAGTTTCCTCCCCCAGCAGTCAGCATAGCACCTTCTAGCGACCTATCAATGGACCGATGGGACACCAGGAGGGGGGATATAAGGGAGCCCCATATCCGCAATAAACGAGTCTGCAGCTGCTCGCACTGCCTGCTTCTCGCCTGACTCCCGGAGTCTGCGTCGTGACTCTGGGCCGACTCTACCCCGACCCAGAGGACCCCAGGACACCTGCAACAGACACCGAGCTAGGAAGTCTGGGATACAAAGCTGGGTGTTTATACAACATCTTCATAAC